AAGATTGGCCTGGATCGTCTCCTACGCTGACCCTTGGTGGGGATCAGCTAGAAGTCGTTCAGAAATTCAACTACCTGGGAAGTTCTATCAGCGCCCGTGGGATTGAAGATGAGACCACGAACCGTATAGAAAAAACTCGAAGTGCTTTTGACCGTCTTCGCCACCTATGGCGGCGGCGCGACATCACTCTCGCCCTGAAGGGTAGAGTGTACAATGCAGCGGTACGTCCGACCCTACTGTACGGTTTTGAAACCTGGCCCCTTAGATTTACGGACATAAAGAGGCTAGTTACGTTCGACCATCGGTGCTTTCACAGTTTGGCTCACATCTGGTGGGAACACTGCGTGAGCAACGGAGCTTGTTCGACGCATTGTTTACGGCACAGGAGAAGAAAATGAACCACTCAGCACCGTCATTTCACGCACCAGGCTCCGATGGCTCGGCCACGTTTTGCGCATGCCAGCCCACCGACTTCCGCGACGCGCGTTGTTTGCGCACCGCGGGTGTGGATGGAAGAAGAGGAGGGGTGACCAATCGATGACTTGGTCGAGAGGAATGAAGGCCCTCACTTCGGAGCTGGCCTCGGTTGGAGCGTCTCGGCTCCCTGGTTGGGGCCCGAAGGACGATGAACACGTTTGGCTGGATACACTTGCTGACATGGCTAGGAGCCGACTTCAGTGGCGTTCGTGCTGTGAGTTTCTTTGTCCCACCCCATCCCTCTTAGCCACCCCTTCAACCACGATCTCACTATTTAGCCTTTTATAATTTAGTATAGTAAATTTTTCTTGTTGCCTAGTATCCGGCTGGTAGCTTTCCGGAACGATGCCCATCGGTTGCTGGTAGCCCAGCTGGCTTGCACCTGTTGCATTCCCCCTTTCTTCTTTTATGTATTGCGGCACAGTAGCTGAGGCGTTTTACACCTCTAGCTAACGTGTGTATTGATATAATGGTGATGATCTATAGAGCATTGTAGCGCAATTCGTCAAGGCGTCTCGTCCTATCACGAAAACACCCTTTTATAAACTGTACTGAGGACAGTCGGTGGTTGTGTTTTTGGCCTGTTACTTGCCACGCGAAAGTCACGAGGTCTTCAACTCAGTTATGGAAGTATCCGATAAGCAGCAGTCCATCGAAGTTGGTGAATAAGACCAGTGAGTGGCAGTCAAGTGGTATGCGGCTGTTCGTTCGTGTGTACTCTGCAGTGGCACATTTACTATCCTCATAACTGGAGAGTAAAACTCGCGGTCATTTCACCAGTGTGTCAAAGCACAGAGAAGAGTTGTTGCAGAAGTGTATTGAGTGTAGATATCGGACCGGTTGGTAATCACAACTGCTTTGTCTCAACCAGTTATGGTGTGATGGTAAGGGACGACGTAGCTCTGTAGGTTCCCTGGAGGCGTGTGTGGACCCTGAATGAAATAGACCAAAAAATTGTAGGGGGGTGGTTTGATAGTCTAGGCCAAACGGTGTGTTGGCCATACACCATGAACAGAGGGCGGTAGACTCAACCAAGGAATAGCAGCAAGTGCGAGAAGCGAAGAGTTTGATCAACCGAATGTGTTTGATTTCATAAAATAGATAATCAGAGATTACAGATTACCTTAAGCTACAGATTACCACTTACCACGCTGTGCACGCCATCGCCTGCTGGTTCACCAGCCCGTCCGTATACGTGTGCACTATGCTCTTCATCCCAATGAGCATGCGGGTCGGTGATGGTAGATGTGTTTAGGAATACTAAGAAAGCGGCCACAGATAGCGACACAACTCACGCTTCGATGCCTAATCCGAATCCCTGCTGTGACATTGCCTCCTTCAGAAGGTAACGAGCGGAAAGACCGAATCCTGTGCTAGGAAAGCTAATTGCCGGCGAACGGTAGGAGGTAGAACAGCGCGAATGCTCGGTAGGTGGTGAAAGAGCATGATGGGAACGGATAAACGGAGTGGACAGATTTTTGACCAAGGAGAGGGCGATTCAACGTCATACCATTCTTATCCCGTGTACCAGTCGTGAAAAGCTCAAACGGAATGAAACTGTGCTCAAAATGTACACTACGGGTATGCTAATGCAGCGTAGCTCACTTCCAATCTAAAGAGGGAAATTTATTCCTCTATCCTTGTGCACTTAGAGTACATTTCTAGCTATTGTGTGAGGTCTACATGCTAGTTGTCCAAATGGCTTCCAGTTCATGACATGGCATCTTGCACAAACACTACGGTGTACTGCATCTCCAGGTCTTAACGTGGTGTGATGATTTGCGTACCTCATCAATCCATTGCGCTACGCTAGGGAGTAAGTCAATGGTTAGGCATCAAAGTCAGTCTCCATGTCTTCCTCGTTGATCCTTGAAGATGGGTCGATGGTTCTCTTCCTCCAAAACATGGAAATTAACAGTCTATGAGTTATCGGCACAACGGCATTGACGCAAGGGCCAAGCACGGCGCGTTCTCTGTTGGTGGGGAAGCACCTATCTCGGTCGATGGTTTGCTATCACCCGCCTAAAGCCAGTCGACCACTCGTCACTAAGGTAGAAACTCACCAAATCCCACCTGGTGTGTCTGCTGAGAAAACATTGATATTTTGATTCGACTCTAGCTTATGAAGCTCGATGTCATTCGCTGTGAACTTCAGAGTAGAGCGTAGGTATAGGCGTACGTTTCACAACCGGCCTGACACAGTGCATGGAGCAGCTGGAGATCGCGAGTTCGGAGGTACCATGCTCTTCACATTTGGGGAAATAATGGGGTAAACAGAGTAAGAAGACGCATAAGAGAAGAATTAAGGTGAAGAACCGGTTTGTGTTCCCATAAGGGTAAACTTAGCACTTGGTTGCTCAGAAGAGCAGCGGTTACAAAGCCGTTTGTACAGCGGTGAACAACTTATGGCTACCTACACAGTCACCTGACGACGGCACTGGCAAGACTGGAGTCGTGTTATACGGGTTTGTGATGGATTAGACGAAATTGTCAGGATCGGGCAAAGCCATAGCTCCCAGTGGACGGTCGATATGATTCTAGCTTTATTAAGGAGATAGCGTAGTTCATCATCTCCGTCGTCGGTGAGTGACTGCAGAGTGGCTTGGAAGATCGATACTGAGAGATTGGGTACCCAATGACCGGATATGCGAAAAAGAACAGACTCAATGACGCGGAGCATTGGCAGCCTCTTGTCTAGTTCAGCTAAAGGACTGAGATTTGCACAATGAAGTGCAGTGGACTAACTGGATCATAGCAAACCATGCATCAGTCGAGAACACTTTCGGGTTCGGAGTAATAGGCAGGTTGCTCTCCCGAGTGGAAATAAATCGAGCTTCAGAGCGCTCATACAACCCACCAACTCATATATTAAATACAGCAAGAGAAAACACCAAATGACATTCCCCAAGAGACTGGTGCTTTGAGCGCAAGGTAAAGTTCCCACCACGGCAGTCTGGAGAATCAGCTCCAGATGCGTCTAAACTCTTTCTATAGCTACGCTGGTCAGTTAGCGCAGTCCCTCTGCCAGTGCCGACCTGGTGTCGCACTTGGTGTCCCCAAGCACAAGGCTATATCTTGTGGCATCGGACTACCCAGTTCAGTGTCATCCATTGTGACGACACCAGAAGATCTGCAACGCCACCACATCCTCTCTGGTAGCTCACATAGACGACTGGGGGAAGAAGGATCGATTTTTTTCTTCCGATGATTTATCTGTTCATCATTCGAAGTTCAAGGAATAGAGGAGTCCCGGATGAAAATCACAGTTTCACGACCTTGAAGTGGCACAACGACTACGTTTGCAAGGGGTCAATAGATCAGTCACCTATCAGACTGTCACTATATCATAAGACTTTGTGAAGGGAGGTTAAGTGATAAACTGTAGTGACAAGGTGCACCGATTGGCAAAGTTAGCAATGTAGGTGGCTGGTAATTTTAGTTCAAGAACCACCTGATCGTTTGAGTAAGCTCGTGCTTCCTGCAAAGGGATATTCCTCTACCTAGTTGGGGAAGGTTTTCGAACAGCAACGTTCAGAATTGTGAAGAAAGTAACAACAAAAGCGTCTATTGTTCGTTACAAGCATGCGAATGAAATGGGGCTAGAAGCACGACCACTACAATCATGGGCCTGATTATGCTACTTGTACAGCGCAAGTAGCCTATAATCTAACGGCGCCTACTGGGTCGAACTGCGTCTGTTTAGTTGGCGCATACGGCTGACACTACTTGGAACGCTCCTCATCTGTGGATTCCCAAAGGCCTAGGATACAAACTACAGCAAAAGCAAGATTGTGCAACTGAATTCCCCAGTCAGTTCGCTTCCGTTTTGCTTCACAACGAAACCAGGAAAGATTACAAGGGATGCTATCTGGATTCCAGCAAGATTACTGAGAGTAGGAGACAACGGATCGGAATGCGCAAGACACTGAGGCTGATAATTATTGATATACACAGGAAACGAAGAACAACCAGGGCTGGTTGGTTAACTATCCACTGTAGCTTGTCAGGCGCCAGTGAACTCGTGAGATTGTTGCTTCCGCCGTCCGGAATGCACCATATCTTACGTCTGCCACGCGATAACAATGTAAATTCGCATCACGTTATCCATCTGATGCGAAGACAAAACCAGGCTACCTACTTTCTTGAATATGTTTAAATGCTAAATGCCTTAGTAGGAGGGCATCAAATGTCTAAACAACCTATAGATGTATGGCCGGTTTCATTGCTACCGTCATTCACGAGGCATGCCTGTTCGTAGATTGTTGACAAAAAGTTGTACCACCAATGTATAATGCGTGGGCTGGTGGTGGAATAGAAGAATGGTTTCGGGTGCCCTAGCAGCCGACACATAAGAGGACGAGACGAAACCCTAGGCTAAATTCGGCTTCCGCCCTCCTCTTTAATCCGAGAAGCATGCAAATCACCTCGGGGCCTCAGTGCCAAATCGGTTTAGCACCTGCATAAGTGTGTAAAATGGTGTGAGATAAAGCCGGACAGAGTTGGAGACCTCAGGACAAACTCACCGCTTCTCTGTACCGTAAGATTTTTGTGCAACTTTAGCGTGTAGAATAACCAGCACTTGATCTCGTCTGTCAGTCAAGTAGGTGCGCATCATCTGCCGAGTGAGTACGCCGAGTGGCTCGAAATGGACCACGTCTGTGTTGGATGTAACATCTTGAGGTGGTGGGGGTAAGCTTTTTGGCGTTCCCTCGCCACCTTCCGAGGCGACAGGCGGAAGAACAGATCCAGTAGATTCGGTGGAGTGTCTCAGGTGTTTACTCAGCGCATGTGATTTGAAGCTTCGTGAAGAGGATGATACGAACGTCGTCGTGGAAGAACTTTTTCGTTGCACATACTGCAAGCGATCGAAGCCGCCTGCACACGTGTTTGATGAAGACTCAAATGAGTCGCAGGAACGGTGGGTGTCGGGTAAGTCGGTGGTTTGCAGGTTCGGATGTAATCGGGCTGTACCAAACAAATGGCTGTAGCTAGTGTCCAAATTTTGGACGCGGTGATGGTGCTCTACAGAAGAGGACAATCGTTGCTCGTAAAAACCTGTTGCATGAGACGAAGACGCGGCATACAATGGTAGATCGTCGGTGCGCGCCAATTCTGCATTTAAGATGTTACCACCATTGTCACTGATAGGCGGAGGATGGTCATGGTGCGTCTGGGTTGAGACTTTTGTGTCCAATTTGGCCGATTGACAGAGCCTATCTTCTAACACTCTTCCATGGGACACCGGAAGAGATTCTTTGTGGGAGTTCTGTTTTGGGCTAGAAGAGAGTGACAAAGCAGCGTTTATTATCGCATTGCGCAATGGCTAGGAATACCCATCATTCGCTCCGATTGTGATGGTGACAGAGCTAATGACAAAGTGCTGTAGTGGCGTGTATCATTTTGATTTTGTGCAAACCAGCAAGTTACTGTATGAGCCTGATCATACTGTAAGCATTACCATTATCAACAACACCAACAACAAGCGCAAGCCGGCACTGTGAGTTTATGCCTCACTATCGCCCTATACACGTGAATCTAGCGGTCCAGACGATATCTATCAGAGGTAAGATAACTCTAACCAACTTTTAGAATCTAACCAAGTCATCAACTCGTTTGAATACTGCGAACCGTTTAGGCTCGTTATTCCAAAACCTTCGGCCACACAAGTACTTGAGCATAAAATAAAATAACAGTAGTCACAGTTACCGCTGAACGCTATCATATGTTACGGATAACCTGTGTACACTCAGCTGTTATCTGTTGGCTTAGCTGAACTAGATGACTGCATATCGGAGATGCATCCGAGGCAGCACTAACATTTAATGAATGCAGCTCAAGCATGTTGATAGGTTGTTCTCCTCTAGTTAACGGAACCAAACCAATAGAATTGATGTAATTGTGCGAAGACCGTAGATGATATGTGGTTGCCAATTCCATGGCAAGCCTCAACGACCGAACGCGATACATGACCGACGCACCGTAATGTATCGCGTTTGGTCGTCGCCCCAAGGCGCAATGTACTTTCAGTGCCCTGTAGTTTAATAGTTGAGTCTGTAACCTAGGTCGCTCCCCCCCCAGTGGTTACACCGTTCTCCCGTCATCGCTCTGGGCTACCCCGGAAAGATTATATCCTGATGACGCGATCGATAAAGCATACCTGTAGATGCAATGACATCCATAGTCCATAGCCGATTGGATCGTTATTGGATATCCTGAAGGCAGTATTCGTATTTTTTCCAAAGCCGCAAGTTACCGTCTTATTTGCCCGCACATAATAGATACTAAACACCGTCCTATCTCACCTGTCACGCTTACTTGTCTACCCAAGGAAACTCATCAGCACGTGTCCCAACAAAAAAATCGCGGTAAGTTGTCATATTGAATCTAAAGTGAAAGGCTTCGAACTTAAAATGTGTGGACTATTCGAAAGTGACAAACAGCCTTGCAAAGCTTAACAACGATAAAGAAAGGGATTCGATGACTCGGAAAAAAGGTGCATCGTCCATCATGCCAACAAAGTAGCAGTGAAATCATAATGATGTATGCGTACAACCTGCTTTCTTTTCGCTTGATTCAACCCGACAGCCCTGTTGAGTCGCTGAGATTGCGGAGTTTAACCACTGAAGCCTCGTAAAGCCAAGACCGTGACATTACCCGCATAGTTTTACCATCCACTCAGGCATTCGCGATCCACGAATCGGTCACAGCCCTCAAGTATCCGACGTCTGCGGTGAAACAGTCTGGTGTGAACATCGACAATCACGTGCTGCCACACACCATCTACCCAGGTTAAGTGATCAAGCCCTTTGCTATTGCAAGCCATCACGCCCCTATGAGGGACAGCGAGAAAAGTTGAATAGACAAGCCCAACAAAGTAACAAGTGGTGGTCCATGCTTTGACCTCCATCTGCTCCGTACAGACTATTCATTCAATTCATCTACCTCGGCGCCTGAGGCTGCACGTTGACTAAAATTGTACTTAGAGCGGACGCCGAAGTGCCGACATCCACTTGGGCACCAGCAGGATTGCCGACAGCTCAGCTCCTGTCCCAGTGTTCCATGGTGGACCGGCCGGGGTCAGCAGAGAATGGAGGGATGGGAATTGCAATGACTGTGGAATTTGGTAACTACCCCAAGCCATTAAATAATAATCTCAGGGAACAATTAGTTGTCTGTGACAAAGATAGTGGTTTGAATTCAGTGTGACAAGCGGTGTGTTCATTCGGACAGCAGGACGTATCCCATGTTATCGTGAGAAACATTGGCACTAGCGCGTCTGAGCAACGACCACCTACTCCCAAATGAGGCCCACATCGTCCGTCCGACTAGGACCACCACTGCCAAGGCGGTAGTAAAAGGAACTGCACCTCACATTTAGTTTAAGTATTTGCGGAACCTTACACCTTCGTTGTCAACACATTAGCGGATAGATCTCACGATCGATGAATGCCATTAGCACGATCCAGTGCTTCATCAGCCCAGTTGAGTTAGCACGGTACTACTGAATACCAACCAAGTTCGTTGTGATGTTCACACCTGCTCAGACTACTAAGCGGGGTTGAGATGGAACGCAGTCACTCGCCGTAGAGTAGACAAGACGCAACTGATCCCCGTCGATTTTAATGTCACGATTTTTTCTCGAGCCAATGATAAAATTGTACCTATTCCAAATAGTGAATGGTCACAATCTGGTAGCACAAGTAAACGCACTTACCCAACTTGGAGCTGGGATGCAACACGGGTACTCGCCGTATTGGGTAAACGTAACCTCCGTCCACCGTAGATTACTAGTTCTGTCTAGGTGAACACATGCTAAGCAGATGGGCGACTTGAAAATGAGTATGGGTGCAGCCTTACTGGAGCCGCGTTTGTGGGCAGTCGCGTCCACATTCAGACTCACTGCACACGGTCACCGTTGAATTGAATTACCCATGGGGCACATCTTTGGCTGTGAGAGCAGTATACCGCCAGTGAGCACTCTGCTTCATGAGGCTAACCGATGGTAGAAACAATTACAAACAACTACAAACATACGTACAGTGAAGCTATGTAAGTTGACCAATCAAGGGACTGGACCAAAGTGGTCACATAGCGAGGTGGTCAACGTATAGAGGTGCTATGAAAAACCTAGTGTACGTTACTTTCTCGTTGTGTGTAGTACACTATAGACTTTATTTGCACGTACATCCTGCTTCTGATGTATTAGACTAGCTCTTACGTAGTGATAAACAGTTAAAACATAAAGCATTATGATAAATCAAAATCGTGGTTTCTTTCGCTTATCACAAACGGCAATGAACAGGTTAGTCTAGAACTGGTCAAACGACAGGTAGACAGGCACTCAAACTCCTCATTGTGACTTGTTCAAGTAGTGGGTACATGTTCCGAGGGGTAGACGTGATGCGTGTTTGTGTAAGTAGACGATAGTGTTCCACCAGTCTGCAGCGTGGAAATTACAATAAAATAATTGGATGGAAATAGCATAAACCCCCGGTATATAAATGTTAAATGTCCCGTTTATTGTGAAAACAATCGTTTTATATTATCTTGTGGAACGTGTACCTTTAGTGTGGGAGCAAATAAATGCTGTGCTGTGACGGGTGAGAAGTGGTAAAAACGGAAGTTCCTGATGAATGAACATGAAAGATGTGTGTACGTATGGCTACTTATCACGTAATAAACATAAGTGTTTCATTCACTAAGCCAACAGTTAGCAAGTACGGCCGAAAATAGAAATTGACCCCCTTATATTAGAAAATTTAGAAATCGATCATTAAGACTGAAATATATTGATCACGGTAATCCGAAAAAAGTGCAATAAACTGTGTCCATATTCAGTAAAACCGGAGATTAAAATAACCTTCATTATGTTTATTCAGACGGCAGACCGGTAGAACACTACCGTAGGCAGACGGGTAACGAATGGGTTCACACAAAGCGGCCAGGGTCAATCCGTGGACGCGTATTTGTGGGGACACACTGTACGAGGTAAACCACCTATGAGCGTAACTACTGAAGAGTGGGATATCAGTGCAAATGCACATTTACAGTCAGAGAACATGCTGTATCGCCAAATGTTTGCGGAGCCGTGAAGTGCAGTGTGGTTGTAGGCCAGGAGAATTTTACAAATGGAAAATTTCCGCTACATACACATTATTATTTGAACAGTCGAGTGGTTCGGTGACTATTGCGCAATAAACCTTCACGTGGTAAAGTTACAGAGGTTAAATTGAAAAAGAGTGTTATAACCAAAGTACTTAACATAGAACTCACAGTGGTGGTCAATATACTGAGGTATGGTTCAGTAGGCCGTGTGGTGAACGTTTAAACTGAAATAACAGTGAACTCAGAGTGGTGGTCCAGATATGGAGGTGGTCAACTGTGGACGTTTTACCGTATGTCTATATATATAGATATATACATATGTATAGCTCATGGCCCATGGGCTCATGGGCCATGCACTTAGCTAGGATCTGTTTGTAAACAAATTATTGCATATGCCATTTAATTAAGGTTTATATCACCGTTTCCTTATGCATTAAGCAACTTTTTCTCTTTTTCTTTCTCTCTCTCTCTCTCGCTCAAGTGTTTGGCTGTTGTTTGATATCCCCGGTGTGGCTGTGCTTGAGGAATGCCAAACAACAGCCAATCACTTGAAATGACAGTATCAAATAAAACATCTGTTAAGGTATACGGTTTTGCCGATATGACTCATCGCTAAATTTGCATATGAAGTAAGTTGGTTATCAAGGAATAAGCGACAAGTACAAAATGTTCATAATTATTCAAAAAATGCTACAAACGCAATCAACTTAACGAAGATAACCACAATTAGCGTAAACAACGTGTGCAAGTTAATAGAATATTATTCAGGTAGGCAGAACAAACCAAATAAAGTGGAATGAAATTTATTCAGCTTAAAAAGAACAAGTGTAAATTAGTTTAGCCCAACTGCGGTGAAGAAGCGTCATGAATGCAGCATCAGCCTCAGCATAGAGCACACATGCTGCGCATGCAAAGAAACAAAACAGGATTACTTTAGACACCTACTCTGAATCGGTCTGGCCATGACTATTGGTATGAGCTTTATGCTTCGAATGGGTGTAATCCGCAATGGAGGAAAATGACTCGTGGAGTGAGCACAGAGGTTGTTGGATTCTTACAGCGCCAGCGCCACCACTAGCCAAGTGTGGATACGGGGGCAAGCACTTTTCGTGTGCGTTCGATCCTGGAACTGCAGCGGTGGAGAGTGGTGATAAGGCGGATTGGTAAAACTGATCATAAGCAGTGTTTGTGGAGCCAAGCGAGTGGACCACAGCGGCCGCAACCGCCGCAGCTGGGTAGAATGAACCGCCGGTGGCAGTAGAGGTGCCCGCTGCCAGTGGGGTGAAGGAGGACAGGTGGCTTGGGGGAGGTGGGAAAATCGGTGAGGCTGGGTTGATTGATACGGGTGGACCAGTAAACGGATATGCTGAATTGAAGCTGTCTGTGTTGCTGGGATGGAGGGACCCCGTTCCCAATGACCCAAAGTGACTCAGTACAGGGAACTGAGGAACGTGCAGTGCGGATCCGCTTGTGGATGATACAGGAACTGCGAGGATGAAAACAAAAGGGGCAGAATGGGAGGAACACAAGAAAACACAAGAAAAGCACGTTATCAGGAATTGAAGCCAGTTGTCTTCATCGTGTAGAAGTAGATAATCAGACCACACATCTGCCCTAGACTTGTTCCCCCAATTGGACCCACTTCGTTGCGTTTTGTAGCAAAGCGGTAGGTCATGGGGCTCGGTAGGATGCGAAAATCGGAACTCGTAACCAGAAGCACTGCTTTTGTCGCCGTTTTCAAGGGAAAGGTGTCAGAATTGCCAAGCATCAGAGAGCAATAGATCCCGCTTGAAAGCAAGCAAAAGGCTAGTTGACAAACATCTCAGGACGATGAGCAGATGCAACGTAACAACAGTTAGATTACCGGGTGTAGTGAGGTTGGCCTTGCTTGTTCCAAGTGCAGCTTTACAGAACTGCTCCGGATGGTATCGATGCTCGGACTATGTGGAAGCGATATACCCTGTGTGCTAGACGCAAGTACGGGGGTTGAAAAATCTGCGGCCCGCTATTGCGCGCAAACTAAATAAGGCAACGTTTTGACAAGCCCCATTCAGCAGAGCATGCATGCCATTATCTATACAGAGCATTGAAACGGCAGAGCCATCTCGATTAAAGTCCCACATGTATTCGTGCCACAGGATCTGTGGTTAGTCTGTCTCGGTAGTTGGAAACACTAAAATGGCTATATATTGGAACCAGGAGCCATGGACTGCCCAAGGAGTTATCAATTCATCTGGGAATACATGACGTGTTGCTCGTACACAGTACTCAGCCGCCCGGATGGCAAAATGAGAACAGTGAACCAGAAAAATAACAGAAAATGATGAATGGGATCCCTTTCGTTTGTATACGACGGTTGTGCACATGAAACTATCCAAAACATTGTCAATAAAATCCCCTGAAGGTGAAATTCGTAGCACAAATGTAGTCATTGAAGTTGAGGTCTCAACCGCAATTCTCACGAGTAACCATTCCGCGAGCAGATCGCGAAGCGCAGAGACTGGATGTGTTACACCAGCAGAAGCTAGAGAGTAGTTTACAACGCCATCGCTGGCAGCCCTAGACCAGTAAAGTAGTAGTATGCTGCAGTTCGATAGTACGTTGCTTAAACCGAAGTGATGCTTACTTGCAGAAAACCGTGCCGTACACAATTACTGTAAAGATAGTCGATCGTTTGGGTGAATAACACCAAAATACGGAAAAGGAAACATTACAGAAGATCATAGCACTTTTTAGCCTTATCGAGGTTAAAGTTACTATAGCCCTAGAACCCGAGGCGACGTAGCAACGTGGTGTGGACGCACCGCCGGAAGCGGTTGCTCAGACGCGAAGCACCGGTATACAGTCCCGGCTGACAGCTACCGCCTCTTCTAAGTCGCCAAGCGAAAGTGGCAGCATTCGAACTGCAATATTCTGGACACACAGCCCCCTAATCCTGCTATGAAGATGGTGCCATTCACGTGGACTTAATGGACATTCACCGTGTTGATGGGAGTGTTTCCAATAAGGAAAATATAGACATTGGATTGCCGTTTGTAATATTCATGAATGCAACTCGCTAAGATACATAAGAAAAAAAGCACGGTGATTGAAATCTAAAGTTAATGGAACACTCCAAGTATCGTGGCAGTGGATCGAGGTCTCCAGTGAACGGGAATATGTAATCCCCGGAAAAATGCAGATATGGACATATAGGCTGTGGGGACAATGGAAGCCGTTTGTGGAATGCCGTTACTCATCAATGGTTCACATCGTTCACAACGAGATATCGGCTAGTGCCTGGACCACAGCCAATAAATAACTGAGGCATTGGCAGATGTAAGCACAAGCGAAGTTATTTCCGTTCGAGTGGCACCTTCAGTGCCTATCACCGCGGAGGGCCTTAACCTTCTGCGGAATGGCATCAAAGTGTGGGTCCGACATTCTCAGGCCTAACTTGGTTAAACAACAATGAGAACCAATGGCAGTTGAGCCACCCGAGGGCCGATAAGTCGGCCGTATAGCCATGGTTTAACAACTCGCTTGTACCCACCTTGATGATCAACTTCACAATGGTGTAATCCAACAGGTGATGACGCAGCTAAAACGAGACGAGGGGTCTGATTTCGCCAAGCGCACTCCATCGCCGATGAAAGATTACGGTAACCTACTAACAGCTTATCTGGCATCGCGCTACCAAATCATAAGGTGACGAGGGGAATTTTCACCAGGCAAGTGGTAGTCGAGCTTCAATTGTATCTTTAGAGCAGGACAAAGGGTGTGGTCCGAACACTTTCAGTTGTCGATCCGATCACCGTTACGTCCAGACCGTTCGCAAGTCATCCTGCGATTGTGCACCAGCACTTGCGAGAGTGGATTCAGCAGAAGCTAGGCTTTTGCTCCGTCACAGAATGCAGCGAACGGATGCTTACTCTAGCCAATTGATGGGACAGCGTCACACGTGTGGACCATCTATTTTGTCGCTCTACGCTAGTCGGTGTTTGCGAAGGATATCCCAGCGTCGGTCGTGGAATTGGTACCAAATAAGCTGGTTGGGGCACGTTCTTTTAAAGCGTCATACCTGTTTTCGTCGGTGCGTGTTGAACTGCTGACACTCTCCATAGTTGCCAATTGGTAAGTACCTTATGTTGCCATCGAACGTTGTCGAGTAAAGCCCTAGGGTCGACAATCCATAACACAGCAAAAAGACGCGGAGAAATCGACTGAAGAATTAAGTAGCGCTGACGAGTGTGGCACATATGGATGGCTGTCCAAAGACAGGTCACACTAGTGGTTAGAACACTATCCGACACGGTACACCAAAAGTCTGTGGCATAAGTTTACTGATAATTTACCTATTTTCCACCAGGTCGTTGACTCTCGTTGTCTCAGCGAAGCTGAGTTAATCAGCCGCATCCAGCACATTTTTGTGCTCAAGTCATAGTTGTCGTCAAGTATGTCTGTGTGGCTCAACTGCGGTCAAATCTATGGCATTAATTAAGAGTTTGTTCAGTAACCGGTTGAATGGGACTCAATCCTGATCTGGAGTACATCGCCGCAGTAACAAAGGATGAGGAATTAGTTTGCCAGATGGACCCAGGTGTTTAGGGCGCTACGAACAGGAGCAAAGCCTCCTTAGTTTTTGGAAGAATAGTATGGGGTGCAGATTCCAAGCAAAAAGAAGCCACACATAAGTCTGGGTCGCCTCCACCAATTAGATGTCGATGCAGTTTTACGGAAAGACATTAGAGTCTTAGGCCAGCAACAAAACAATTCATGTTGACACAACTGGATCGAGATGCCCATTTCAATTAAACAAGCATGCCTGATCAGTGAACTGTGGTGGGTTCAGTTACCGCGGCAACTTCGCCAAGATAATACCTAAAAGAAGCAGATAAAATGTAGAGATGAAACGTAAGAGGATTAATACGTGAGCATGTAACAATCGTTTGAAGAAAAAGTTATGGCACTATCAGTCGTTACCGCACCAGTCACTGGAGATCCGAGAGGTCGATGAACCTGTTGGAATCTAGCAGAAACGTCCCGGCTGGCTCTGAGCATAATGTGACCAGACGGGCTATTAGGCACCAAGTAAAGCGGAGCCTACGTGCCGACAAGGAAGCCTGGTGGACCACCCGGGCTCAAGAAATGGAGGAGGCAGGAGCAGTAGGCAATTACCGCAAGCTCTTCCAGCTGATCCGCACCACGAGCCTCAGGAAACCAGACGTCAGTGAGACAATCAGAGACGGCGCGGGTGCTTTGATGCACAATGAAGAGCGCCGGATGGTTTGTTGGGAGGAACACTTTCTAGATCAGTTCAGCTGGCCCCCTGCTCCCGGACCTCTTCCTACTCAGATGATGCAAGAGGAATCATGGACGATTAGTTTAGAGCCTCCGTCGGAGGCCGAGATCCGAAAAGTGATCACAGCCCTCAACCGTTTTCGTGCCGCTAGCCCGGATCCCCTCTCATCTGCACTATTTAAGGATGGAGGTGAGGTCCTCTGTAAAGCACTGACCTCCCTATTCGAACGTACCTGGAAGGAAGAGAGTGTCCCGGCTAACTGGAGCGAAGCGATTATAGTGGCAATATACAAGAAGGGCAATCGCACAGACTGTTCTAACCACAGGGGGTAGTAGCCTAACGCCAGTTGTGAAAAAATTACTGGCGTCAATTCTCCTTCATCGCCTCACTGTGAAGCAGGAATCTCGGATTAGGGAAGAGTAAGCAGGTTTCCGCCCAGAACGTGGCTGTATAGATCATATATTCACTCTGCGGCAGGTGCTAGAGCAGCGCCATGCATACCGCAGACCGACAATAGCTGTGTCTCTCGCTTACAAGAATGCGTTCGATTCAGTCGATCGATGCATTCTGTTCGAAATACTTGCGCGGAAAGGTGTTCCCACGAAATATGTGAACATCCTACGTGCTTTATACTGGAACACTACGGGCCGCATTGGGGTCTACGGCGACTTGTCGGATAGATTTCCGATCGCAAGTGGCGTTCGTCAGGGTTGTCCGATTTCCCTATTTTTGTTCAGTTTCGTCGTGGACTCTATCATGAAATGTACCCTTGCGGAATCTCACGATGTAGGCGTTGAGATTCTGCCTGGTGTAAGGTTAGTTGATCTTGCTTATGCGGACGATATCATCTTGCTTTTCGACGATGTTGCGGCGGCACAATCAACCCTGAATAACCTGGCTAGCGTGGTCCCATTATTTGGTATGCACTTCGCACCTTCAAAATGCAAAGTGTTGCTGCAGGACCACCAGCCACTTTATGACCCCTTGACCCTTAAGGAGGAACTCGAGGTGGTCGATCAATTCACTTATCTTGGCAGCTGCATCAGCAAAGATGGACGCATAAAAACTGACGTAAGCTCACTCAGTGCAAAGGCCAGAGCTTCCTTCTTGAACCTGCGGCAGCGTTGACGACAGAAGGGAGTTACCCTACGTCTGAAAGGTCGTGTATACAAGGTCACCGTGAGGGCCGTTCTGCTCTATGTTAG